AAAGGAGCAAGGAGAGGGGAAGGGAAGGGAGGGGAAGGGAGGGGAGAGAGGGGAGGGGAGAGGATGGGAGGGGAGGGGATGGGAGGGGAAATAGCCTTTGAATTTTTTTTCACATTTATATAACTCAAAAACATTAATAAAAAAAAAAAAAAAACCACACACACCTTTTCAAATAATGAATGCAAAACAATAAGAAATCCTCTTACTTGGAAAATCCTTTCCATCAGGATAGTAATATTCTGTGAATTCTATATAGACAGCTGACATTTCTTGTGGAAGGTACAGTGATTTTTTATTGCAGGAAATCATACTTTTGGGGGAAGAATGACACTGTTCTGCTGTAGAGACCTGAAACAAAAAATTTAGCTTGTCTGTACCTTGGATATAACTTTCAAACTCTTGTAAATACTTACAATAACTTGTCAATAATTAACTGCCAATGAAAACCTAAATGTACACTTCAGTTCACATGAAATTATTTCTCAATTGTAGCCACCTACTACTCTGCAAACTTGACAACCACTTTGGATCCTTACTAAGCACAAAACCAATTCTGTACAGTAACCCTCACAAACTTTATTATCTAGAGCCCTGAAATAAGAGAGAAGAAAACAATGGCAATGATGAGGATCCACAGCCCCAAGCCCTGAATGTCTCCCTACTTCGAATTTCAATATTATTTTTTTTAAAAAAGTGCACCCATGAAACAATTCTGGGGATGAGTAGCAATTTTAGTCACAAAATTTTCTTTGGTGGTAGTGAGGTTTGAATTTAGGGCACTTTACCACTGAGCTACATATCCAGCACCCCTTATTCCCATTTTTCTTTTTTAACTTAAAAAAAATTATTTTATTAAGTTTATTTGTAGAATTTAGATATACATAATGATCATATGCATTAAATGGAACTAAACATGATATTTATGAACATAATTATTATTTTTTCAATAATTTTATTGAGAAACAAATAGCAATGACACAGTTTCAAATCTGATTAGGACAGTTTCAATAATTAATATATTGCATATTGTTGTCTTAGTGGTTATTCACTGTACAAGATGCAGACATGATATCTTATTTACAAACACTATTAGAACAAATCTTTCTATGCACTGAACTAAGAGAATGTAGCTATACAGCTACATTCACAACATACAGACACAAAATGGTCATTCATTTGTATTCCCTTTTTTTGTTTAGTTTTGCCAGACAAGGGTATTCCATTGTCACTTAAATATTATAGGTGCATGAATTCAGCAAAATATTCCAACATAGTCCAGTAGTTCCTAATAGCAGTGTGTTTTCCAAAAGACTGGCAATGTCAGTAGTTGACTTTAGCCTTTTACAGCTCAGCATATTAATATGGCTTCATTTTTTATACCTTGGGTTTATACTTTTTTGCTGGATGGTTAAGACCAAGATAAAGCAAGACCTATATAACAAGAAACGTAAAAAAAAAAAAAAAAAAAAAAGGAAACATAGCATTTGTATCCAATAAGGTCAGTCAAATCCCCTCAGGATTTACCCTGAAACCTTGTACCACAGTTTGTAAATCCTTTGTCAGTGTCAGCCATGTGGATGAGTCACGGCTATTGCTTGACCAATTTGCTCTCTGTGAAACCCTGAAAGCATGTTTTCTCTCCATGTAATTCTCCTTAGGCACACTACATCTTTGATCACTTTCCTCTGTGGCCCCATAATCTCCCTGATCAAAAAATTTGGGACATAACTAAGTTACATGATATTGCAGTACTGGTTCTCCTATGTCCTGAGTCCTCACCGACCTTGAAAGGCTAGGGCCATATGTTGTTCCTTGCAGCCCTCCTTTTTCTCTAATTTTTGGTCTGCAAACTTAGGTCGTTAACCCTCCACCCACCTTTTTTTTAACAATGAGATCTTGCTAAGACCTTGAACTTGCCGTTCTCCTGCCTCAGCCCCCAGAGTAGCAAGGATTACAGGCACATGTCAACATGCCTTGCAGTTTGGTATCTTAAATTATTTTTCCAAAGGGACTATTATATTTTTAAGGTTCTAGTTACGTTTTTTTCACTCTTTTCACAACCATGTAATTTATAATTACACTTAACTATATCTATAATCTAACTAAATTTCAAATTTCAATCGGTAAAGCTTTACTGATTTTAATAGGTAGCTTAACAGACTTTAGGATGCATCTCAAAAGTATTTTAAGTTTTTTTCACTCATTTGTCATTCACTTTTCTTTCTTCCTGTCTTTCTTTCTGACTCACTATGCTGCCCAGGGTGGCCTCCAACTCTAAACAATCCTACATCAGCCTACTGGGTGCTGGGATTACATGTGTGTGCCACCACACCTAGCTATATTTGTCATATAAAATGGAATACTTTCTCATGGATGTTTCCTCTTATAATAATTAAATATTTTGATTCTTTGCACATTTTACAAATTTAAGTCAGTTTCTTCAAATTACATATTAAAAAAGGCTTTTTCTGAATAAAGAGATACAAATCCTTCCCAATTATCAACTTATTTTAATAAACAGGAATTTATTTTCCCTTTAATGGTTCAGTTACTCAAAAGAGAACTTGCCATTCCCCTGCCTCAGCCTCGGAAGTAGCAAGGATTACAGGCATAGACATTTTATTTTCTATCACATACTTTGGGTGTTGGTGTGTTTGTGTTTGTGGAGTTTCTTTTCCATACCTTCACAGAGGGAGTACTTCCCTATTTCTGTGTGAACTTACAAAAGTGTAAAGTCTAATTTAAGGAAGCTGTATTATATTAAGAAAAGGTAGAATTCGAATCTTGATTTGTTTGTTTTTGTGGTGGAACCGGGGATTGAATTCAGGTCCTTGCACTTGCTAGGCAAGCGCTTATTCTACTGAGCTATCTCCCTGTCCCAGAGAATGTAGAGAAAGAAGCCATTCTATGTTCAGAAAATAACATTAACTACAGCTTCTCCACACAGCAGCCTTGACCCTGAGGGCAGGCCATTCTCCCTGAGGAGGCTGCCCTAGCACCAAGGGCCGGACGGTGGTCCCTCTGGCCTTCCCCCACCAAGGGTCAGCAGCGCCCTCCACTGGTAACCTCTACAGTTTGCCTTTAGGCTTGGCCAAATGTGCCTTGACCCTGCTGAAAACCAGTGAGTTAATACAACTTTTCATATAAAGTAAGAGCTTCATCAAAATAAACCAGAACAGTTTTTAAATAACACAACGATGCTATTTACTGTTTGAATTTTTCAATTATTACTTTTATTACAGTGGTCCCTCACTTATTGCAGAGGTTATATTCAAGACATGCCTGCAATAAGTGAAAACCATCAGAGTAGCAAGTTTGTATTTATTTTAGTATTTATATGTATTTTAAGGCTTTATAAACCCTTTCCACACTCTTATAACGTTCCCACACTAAAAAAAAACTGATGTTCTTGAAAATTTTCTAAACTCATAAGCATAAGCAGACACGTTAGTCTGCTGAGCTATCTGACTGGCCCAATATCACATTTCTTTATCCACTGTCAATTTTTTTAAAAGGCTTTTATATTCTATACAATTTATGTTTGTTGTTTTTTTTTACAATTTATGTTTAAAGACTGTGATATCTAGCCATATTATTGATAAATAAGAGTGTCAGTATAAGTATGGTGGCACATGACTATAATCCCAGCACTCCAGAGGCTGAGGCAGGACTAACATGAGTTTGAGGCCAGGCTGAGCTACATAAGCAAGTTCAAAGCCAGCCTGTGCTAACAGTGAGGCCCTATCTCAAAAAAAGAAAAAAAAAAAAAAAAAGTACTAGTATAAGGGACAGAGTTCTTAGTTATTAGGTTCATAGTACAGACAATGCAGTACTTACTAGTGAGGTAAAGTGAAAAAGGCATTTCTGTACCTTCTAAATAGTACACTGTATACTAAGAAATTTGGTCTCTAAAGCCAGGCGTGGTGGTGTACACCTGTAAACCCTGCACTCAGGAGGGTGAAGCACGAAGAGCTCAGCCAGGATTACACAGTGAGCTCAAGGACAGCCTGAATTACACAGCAGGACTGCATCTCAAAAAAGGGAGCGAGGGGAAGGGGAGGGGTAAGCAGAAGGGAAGGGAAAATATGAGGTCTCTAAACAGAGTCCTGGCCTTTGTCCCCTTCCTGAGACACAGCCAAGAATTCTGATTTCCTATCTATACTGGCAACTGATAGTTTATGCTAACAATATGACTCTGGGAAGGGCTGGCCATACCTGACAAGTCTTGTTTCAGGAGAACAGGGGACACCAGAGCATCTCCATCAGTCTCGAGACTGAGTTCCACCGCACAGGTAATACTTTACAGTTGTTGTTAAACATCCATCCCTACTCAGACACATTAACATGCTACAAGAACAAGCAAATTTCAAATATGGAACCTTGCAGACTCTGCCCTATGTATCTCCTCTTAGGCCTGGTTCTACTTTATTTGTTTATTTGGTACAGGGTTTCGCTATGCAGCCCAGACTCACAGTGACCCGCATGTCTCAGCCTCCCCAGCACTGGGATTATAGGCATGTGCCCCCACGCCTGCTTTTGGGGCTGGCATGGTGAGCATGGGGTTGCAGCTGACAAGGCATGAGGTACTGGAGATCAAATTTTGGACCCTGCACTTGCCAGGCAGGCACCTAGACTGCCAAGCTATCTCCCTAGCCTGCCTGGTCCTATTTTATACCCCTTCACTACAACAAAGTGACTGTGAGGGCCACAGATTTCTGTGAGTTCTGTGAGGTTTTGGTAAGTTACTGAACTTGCAGGTAATTTTAGGAAATCCCTGATAATGGACTTGTAACTGGTATCAGACATCCTGGACAGGGCTGGCAGTCTAAAAACACCATGCTGTTGACTTCAAAGTTTGGCTAATTCTGGATAACTACATAAACAAAAACTAACAGGCTGATATTTTCTACCCCATTTGATTTGGTCTTTTCATAAAACTAGTCAAAATGTTTTTAAGATGGTGGGTTAGATATTATAGCAGCTTGTATGAGATACTAAAACTATTAAAATAAAAACCAAAACACACCTGGTATATATTGAAATCTGCAAGTCTAACGACAACAGAGCTGGACATCAGCTTAGCTTTTGATTGCTGAGGCAATGCTGTAGGCATTCTGGAGGTCCCTTTCAGTGCAGAGTCCTTCTCTGTGGGAACAAAAATTCTCTTTAGTTGATTATAGAATTTTCTTCATAGTCACTTTCTTATTAAGACAGCTACGGAAGGATAAATGAACATTAATTTCTAAAATAAGACAAACGTAAAAGTACTTTATAAAGTGATACAGGAATGTAAGATGTTATGATTACTCATTTTCACTGTAATAACACTCATATCACCTTTAGTCACTCCACCACAATGTTAAAAATGAAAGACCTACCAGTCATTAAGAGTCTGAAAATTTCTACCTGTTCTTTCCCTTATTGGTTATACTGCCCATAAATGCTTTGATCTATAGGCCTACCGTGGTCTAAATGAACACTGCAAAACATCTGGCCTTATTTATACAAAATATAATCACACACATACACACACACGCATGCCACACACACACAGCTGTAACATGAGGGGAATGCCAACACATACCTGCTTGTGTGTGCTGGGGAGAGCCATGTGTCGGGGATTTAGGGGGTGAGCCTTCATTATGATCCTTCACAGCCTGTTTAAGCATTTCAACATTGCACTCAAATTCATGTAACAGCTCATTGGCCCATCCAGTTTTCGTTTTGGTTGCATCACTAAAATACATCCAATGATTACAACTATCTCCTGTAAAATGAGTAATAGCTATTTCACTAAAAATGCATGGTTTTCATTTATTCTATCATAGCAATGCTAATAAATTTTAATCATTTTATCAATGTAATCTTTAATCATCCAAAAAAATTGTTGTTGTCCCTACTACATCTCTAAAATATAAGACTTTTAGAACACAGAGAAAGAGCTGTTGAAAGGAAACAATCTGGAAGGGCTTCTACTGAGACAGCGCTCAAAGTTTCCATTCAAAGCCACCAGATTGGTCAGACTTCACTAAGTGCTCAATCACCTAACAAACATCTACTGGAGAGAATCCCAAAAATACTACCTACAAAAATTATTTTCATCAATGATTTGTTGTAAAGTGACTAACAGTAATCTACTGCATAAAACTGATAAGGTGATTTTTTAAAATTGTTTGTTTGTTTGTTTATTGTCTTTTTGAGACAGGATCTTGCTATGCACTTTAGGCTCTTGAGCTCACTTTGTAGCCCATGCTGGACTCAAACTCTCAAGGATCCTCCTGCCTCAACCTCCTGAGTGCTGGGATTCCAGGCAAGTGCCACGATGCCCAGCGATGATGATTTTGTTAATCAATTTAAGAAACCAATAAACTTCTGAAGGTAGATGTAAGGAGATATGTATGCTGTGGGAAGGAAAATGCAAAATCAAGATTATTAGGTTTCTTTATAACTAAGAAAAGAAACACGTACATAAAAAGGTAAAGAAAATAAATCCAGCTGAGAGAGGTGGTACATATCTATAATCTCAGTATTCTGGAGAAGCTGAGGCAGGAGTGTTGCAAATTGGAGCAACACAGTGACTTAAAAGAACTGTCGCAAAATAAAAGATTATAAAAGGGCTTGGAATATATCTTAGTGCAACATTTCTGAATTCAATCCTCAGTACTATAAAAAAGAAAGGAAGGAGGGAAGGAGGAAGGGAGAAAATGCACTCTGTAAATGAAAGTATTGGGCCAGCCAAATAGCTCAGCAGATCAGGCTTGGGTTCACCAGGTTTGATCCCATTCCTGCCCCCAGGGTACACTAGACTGGGCGTGGTGGTGTACACCTGAAATCCCAGCTCTTGGGAGGCTGTAAACAGGCAGATCTCTAAAAGTCAGATCTAGTAGTGAGACTCCAATCACCCTGTAGATCCTTCCCTAATATATAAGAAAAAAAGTATTACCTAAAATATGGAGAATTTCTACACTTTAAAATTTTAAGTAAAGGCTGGGGAGATGGCTCAGTAGAATAAGCGCTTGCCTGGCAAGCTCAACGGCCTGAGTTCAATCCCCGGTTCTGCCAAAAAAAGACCCAACAAAATTTAAGTATATGTGGCAGGCATAATGGTGCACATCTGTAATCCCAGTACTCAAGAGGCTGAAGCAGGAGAATCACTGCAAATTCAAGACTAGCTTGGGCTACAAAATGAGTTCAAGGCCAGCCTGAACTGCATAGCACAGCCCTAAGAAAGAGAAAAAAAATAAAAATAAATTAAAAATACAATAAAAAATTAAATTATATACAACTTGCTAATCAGGACAGGATATGACACAAAGATTTTCAAAAGAAAACTAAACTGGGCCTAATGGCACATGCCTATTCTCCCAGCACTCAGGAGGCTGAGGCAGCAGGATTACTCCATGGCCATCATAGGCTACACATGAGTTCTAGGGCAGCCTGAGGCGCTTAATGAGATCTTGTCTCAAAAAAACCTCAAAGCAAACAAAGAAAATTAAAACAAATCTTATACCCTACAAATTCTGATAAGAGAAATGATGTAACTTTTGACTTTTGTTCCAGCATAAGTCATAAAAATAAACCACACACTACCAAAAGGCACACAGAAGTACTAATGTTAAGTTACTTAATTTGGCTATAAATAACCATGCTGCTTTGGTCTCTATTACTTGGAAAAGAACTTATCAATCCCTGATAATTAAAGAATGTATTAAGTCTTACTTATTGATAAAATGTATAAAATATAAAAAAGTGAAAAAGAGTCCCTAAATCATATATGTAACTTACATAATTAAATCATTTAAATTTCCAGAACAATGACTAATAACTTGTTTTTGTAACTAACAAAATAGAAGAAATACAGCTCTGTTGTATTCGGAGTTTTTAGAAATTTTATCAGTTATTTAGAAGATTGTCAATTTCTAACACAGTTTCAAACAATCTACAAATACCAATATAAAATATATGAGCATTTTCTATGGCAATTCTATTTTCTTGGTTTAAAAAAGAAAATAATGGCTATGAGAAAAACAGTAAAGATCTCTTGATCTCTTCCCTCCTTAACAAATTAAATTAAAAATTGGCTATATTACTTTAAAGGAAGATAAAATGGGTATACACACCTGCTTTATGATAAGGATAATAATCTATAGTTAAGTATGTAAAAGAGAGCTGCATAGCACCTCCAGTGATACGTCTGTTTGACTCTAGGAAAAGAAAAACACGGAATTGGGGGGAAACAAAAATTAAATATCAGAAACACTCAATTTACCATAAAATATCTGTCACAATCAGAGCCCAAGTAGTAGAGACTATCTCTTATCACAGAAGATACACATCACGACTCCGGGAAATACAATTCATAATAATAAGTATTTCCTGAGCCCCTAACATTTTACTACATAGACTAAAAATAAAATAGGAAAAAAATAGCATCTAAGTTCTCTGAGAGAACTTTCATAAATCCTAACCATGCCAGGCAGCATACTCAATATTCATTTCATAACAGTTCTATGAAGTAGATATTACTACTACTACTACTACTACTACGCCCACTTTCTAGGTAAGGAAACTGAGGAACAAAGATAGTAAGGGATCATGATCAGAAAGCAATTTAAACCAGGTGTGGAGGTGCATGCCTGTAATCCCAGCATTTGGGAGGCTGTGGCAGGAGGTTTGTCTCAAAGTTTGAGACCAGCTTGGGCTACACAGTGAGTTCAAGATTGAACAACACAGCAAAATGCTGTCTCAAAAAAAAAAAAAAAAAAAAAAAAAAAGGCTATTTAAGTGCAGATCCTAGATTTAAACTCAGAAAATTTCAACTACTTCACTGTATCATCCTGCCTCTGAATCAAAAAGGACACTGAATCTACTAGGTTAGATTTGATTACAATCTAAATTGTCTACAGTTACATAGATCCAGTAAGATCAAAGGTAGATCACGAAACAGTTTAACTAAAACATAAAAATCAAATTTTAAAATAGCCTGGGCAAGGTTGTAAATACAAACTAAGATATAGCTATATATATACTCTTATACTAATTTGTTAATTCCAATTTATAATCTCTTATTTAAAGACTTTGGGGCCAGGGAGATGGCTCAGTGGAATAAGTGCTTCCCCGGCAAGCGCAAGGGCCTGAGTTTAATCCCCGGTTCTGCAAAAAAATAAAAAAATTTAAAAATTAAAAAAAAAAAAATTTGGAGCTATGTTTAAAAATTTGGAACGTTTAAGATTAAATGAAATTAATGTGGTTTATATAAATTATATTAACTCCTAGCAGTTTCTGAGTACTAAGTGACAAAATATAACCACTCAGAAGCAAAATGTGTAAATATTTATACTAAGTGTGCAAAAGAAGAAGATAATAATGTGTTGAGCAAGCAGGTTTTGCTACCAAATGAGTTTTTCACGAACTTAGGAAACCATTGCACAGCGTTTTCTAATTCACAATAGCAGCAGCAACTAGAAACCTCCGAGTGGGGGAGGCACTTCGGAGGAGAGGGATTTCCCTCAGGAAAGGCATCCTGCTATTCCACAAGGAAATAATAAACTGCAAGGAATGGAAAAGAGATGAGAAAATATGCTTTACATAAAAACACTTATGACAACTTTTATGTGGCTTGGTTTTAACTTTTGAACTTTTCCTTCCAACTCACTAAAGCAGAACTCCTGTCAAATGACACAGAAGTGTACCAGGAAGACAGCAAATCCCTCTGCAAAGCCCAGACCTTCACCTTTGTCCCTCGGGCTCTGCGTGGCATGGGTCCTGGCTGCTTCTCTGATGAGGGCAGGGTCACTTCTACTGCTAAAGTCCGGGATGCAATAAGTACTCTCTCACTTTTAAAGACAATTCAGAGTAGCTGCTTTCGTGCATATATGTAGATTAGGATCAGGTCTAAGGTACACAGGTCAAGTATCTTTATTCCCCTAAGCCCCTGATTCTGTCATAGTTCTAATGCGCACTCGAGTTCTCAAGGTTCACCAGCCCTCCCACTCCCTTAGCAAGCAGAAAGAGGCCGAGGTCCAGCAGAGAGCAGAAACACCCAGCACCTACGTGATGGAACTACAGACTTGTTTCCCTACGCTTCAACTTCTCCTTATTTCTATCTCTTCATTGACCTACAATCTTACAATCTATGTGACTGGCTCAACTTCATCAAGTTTAATAAGCTACTCTTTAGCCTATAAGTTACATTTTTACTGTGAATGTTTATTCTTATGAGTGCATGTGTGCAGTACGTAGTGTTCACATGCCTTGCGGGCACTTGCGATCTGCACACTTCACATCTTCTTTCTTTCTTCATCCCCTTCCCTCCAGTCCCTGCCCACGTCCTCCAGCTCTTGATGCTCTTCCTTCTTGCAAAAGACCTATGTCCTTATTTCCCATTATCTCTTACGCTGCTTTTTTACTTATATTTTGGGTTTCTCATGTAAGACAAATTAGGGGGTCTGGGGAGATGGCTCAGTGGAATAAGCGCTTCCCTGGCAAGCACAAGGGCATGAGTTCAATCCCTGGTTCCACACACACAAAAAAAAAAAAAAAGCCCAGTGGTTAAGACAAATTAGGAACTATTTAAGCCTCTGTCAGCCTTATTTCACTTAACATTATGGTCTTATGAATCTATTTTCCTACAAATGACTCGTTAGTCCTTCACGGCATAGTAGCACCACACCGTGCGTTAATACATTTTCTTTACCCTTTCACCTCTCATGGACATAGGCTGCCTCCAAGATTTAGCTGCTAAGTACTGTGTTGCTATACACACAGGCATGCATGGATCACTATAACATAATACCTTCAACTGTTTTAGGAGATACCTAGAAGGGGAATAGCTGGGTCAAACAGAATTTCTACTTTTAGGTTTTAGAGAAATCTCCATACTGATTTTCTTAGTGACTGGACCATTTAGATTCTCACCAACAATGTAAAAAGCTCCTTTCTTTCCCACCCCAGCCTCACCAGCATTTTTTTTTTTTTTTTTTTGAGGCCAGGTCACACTATGTAGTCCAGGCTGGACCTGAATTCACTAATGTAGCCCAGACTGGCCTCAAACGCACACTTATCCTCCTGCCTCAGCCTTACAAATGATGGGATTATGGGCATGCACCACCACACCTGGCTATTATTTGATTTCTTGATGGTTCATTCTTTATGAATGGAACCTCAATGTTGTTTTCATTTGCACCCTTTTAATGGACAAAGATGTTGAACATGGTTTTGTATTTATTTATTGGCCATTTGTACTATCTCTTCTCTAAGAAGTGTCTATTCATTGCAGTTACCCATTATTCGATTGATTTTATTTTGAGGGTCTAATTTTTTACGTCTTCATATATTCTAGTATTAGTTCTCTGAGGAATACCTCACAAAAAAACCTTTCCCATTCTGTAGGCTGTCTCTTCACTCTGTTGCAGTGCACAAGCTTTTTAATTGGATGTTATTCCTTGTGTAATTGGGTTGTTATTCAGAAAGTCCTTGCTTATGCCTATGTCTTCAAGAGTTTTACCTATTTTATCTCAAAGCAATTGTGTCTGTTTTAATATTTAGATATTTGATCCTCTTTGAGTTTACTACATGGTGGGAGATAAGGGTCTAATTTCAGTCTTCAGCACATGGTAAGCCATTTTCCCAGCACCACTAATTAAAGACACTCTCTTCTTTCCAGTATATATCTGGCCCTTCTATCAAAGCTCAGATTGCTAAATGTGCCTGCATCTTCTACTCTGGAACCACATTTTAAAGTAACCAAGAGTGAGTTCCTTATTAGCCTGATAATCTGTGACTATTAAGGAGAAATAAGAACAAAAATTAAAACAAAACAAAAAAAAATTTCAAGCTGGAACTTAGCCTCCTAACAAAATTTTGAGAGGATGAGTTAGAGAAAACCATGTTAAAGAGCACCTTAGTTGTGTTTATACGCTCATGGATCTAGAAATAAGTAGATTTACCATAATGCTGAAGATATGTAATTATGAGGTATACAGGCTAAAATTTATGAAAAAATTCAAATTTTTGAAAAAAGTAATTCAAAGGCAAGTCTAATATTTTATCCCAGTGTAATCTAATCTATGCTTCTTTATTTTCTGAAGTGCTAAAGATCAAACTTTGCACACATGAGGCAAGCCCTCTGCCGCTAAGCTATTTCTTAAGCCACTGTCTTTTGTTCTTTTCTGTTTTGTTTTGTTTTCAGACTCCTACTATGCAGTTCTTGTGCTCACTTCTTTAGCCCCCAGGCTGGTCTCAAACTAGCAGCAATCCTGTCTCAACCTCCTGAGTGCTGGGATTATAAGCATGCACCACCAGACTGAGGGATTGGGTTCAGAAGGCACGCCCAGGGGATCTGGAGCCACAAAGGCATGCAGATCCAACTCAAGTCCTTGTACTTGCCAGGTAGGTGCTTATACCTCTAAGCATCTCCCCAGCCCCAGGTCACTGTCTTTGAGTGTTATTTTTTTTTTTAAACTTAATTATACTTTTGGCACTAATAGGTAACAACTAGCTAGTAAGCTTCAGTGCTATTTCAGCCAAACAAAATTTTATACCAACACAAAATACTTCAAATTACAAAAAAAAAAACAAAACAAATTACAAGTTATATGTATGTATTCAGACAGAAGAAAAATTATCTTAAGTAATCTTATACAATACTGTATTAAGTACACATATAAATAATTGTTTTATAGTCAATTCTGGAAAAGTCAAAATAGTTTAAAATAAACCTATGATACCTTTTTCTTTTGCATGAATATCATCACATATGTGTAAATCCAGATGAGAAATCACTAAATGATGGGAGGTTTCCTTCACATCAAAATCACTGAATAGCTTCACAATTGCATCATTCAGATCAGGAGCGTTGGAAGTCTGGGGCGTCTTCACGTGCTGAGCAGATGGAGTAGCTGTAGAGCTCTACAACATCCAAAACTGCATTACACTGCAGGTTACACACACGAACCCTTCACATACAAGCATACCTAAATGTTTTTAGTGATAAAGTCATAAGAACAGCAAAAGCATATTCTTTTGTATCAATAACTCAGCTTTTCTCTAAAATATATTCTGAATTATATACTAAATCTAAAATTTTAAAACTGGACAATCATACAATTTGAATGCGAACCTGGTGTCTGAGTAAATATCTAAGCAGTCACATTAACACATGTATGGCCCATATTCTAGAAAATAATCATGCTAAAAATAGCTTATCTAAATATTAGTTCTAGGGAACAGGGAGATAGCTCAGTAGAATAAGCACTTGCTTGCCTGGCAAGCACAAGGTCCTGAGTTAAATCCCTGGTACCGCAAAATAAATAAATTATATATAT